CGTCTAACTTCGGGACTCCTTTGGTGACGGGCGAGACGATCTTGTAGGCAAGCTGCAGCTTGACTGGGTAGTGGTCGTCCTGGGTCTCTGGGTCTAGGCCGCTGTCTATGCCGTAGAGCACGGCGTACTCTTCGATAGAGTCGATGTAGCCCTTGGGGGTGGTGACGTAGTCGATGCGATGGTGGTCCTTGCCCGAGTGCCAGGTGTAATGCTGTGGCCCATGGGTGGCGAAGGTGTTGGCGGCCGCCAGGTGGTTGGCCAGGAGAAGCTCATGTAGACGGCGTCCGTTTGGGTCCTCGTTTTGCTGGAAGCTTTCGTCGCCGATGGCCGCGCTGGTGATGTTGCCTGTCCTGGCAGTTGCGTCGAAGAAGATGATGTTCACTTGGTGCTTCTTCGGTTGTCTCCGCGAGCTTCTTCCAGTAGCTATCCTTCTCGGTCGCGAGGGCCTTCGAGTGCGGGGCATGGGCGACGGCAAGCGCGTGGTTGAAGCCAGGGGCGGCACCGCGAACGATAAGGAGCCTGGGGTCCTTGACGATGACTGTGAACTGGTCAGGTTTGCTCCTTTTTACCGCTCTTGCCGTAGGGCTTGCTGAGTAGAACGTGAAGCTCGCAGCCGTAGTTGAACCCTTTGTGGCCGCTGCAGATGATGTGGTAGCAGTTGGCGTTGGCGCATCTGGCGTCGTCGTCCTGTCCTGCGTCGCGGACGCCCAAGGGCGTCCTTGCCTCCTGGATGCCAATGATATGGAGGTCCTCGTCGTGCAGGCAGGCCATCGTGGACTTACGCTTATTGGTCTTCTATTTTCGACGCTTCGGTCCTTCCTTTGGCTCTCTCCCCGGCTGGATGTTGAAGGTGGCGATGTTTATTTCAACGGTCGCTGGACTCGGTGGGGTTGTGAACGTGTCGGGCCTCGGCGGTCGTCTCGACCCTGTTAGCAGTGGGTTTGCCGTGGCCGAATGCGGGGTATGTCTCCCTAGTGTTAGGATCCGCGTCGATCAGGGACTCCCAGTCCCGCTGGGATGCGCCATCCATGGCGCTTGCCCACTCTGGCTGAGGAGGTATAACTTCTTGCAGGCGTCCGTGGTTGGCGGCGGCGTCGGCAACCTTGTTCCGCGGGTTGTAGTCGCGGGCGTGGACGCGCTGCAGGTCGATCTTGTTGCTGACCATGTCGTAGAGGATGCAGAGTGTCCTGACGAGCTTGGGGTCGTGGTCGGTGAAGGCTAGCTTCTTCGCGAGCTGCAGAGCGCCGGGCGAGTCCGTGGATACCGTGGTGATGTGATGGGGGTTGTAGTGTATCACCCAGGCAACGGCCCATATAAGGGCTGTGATCTCGACGGTCGTGGAGGTGGTCTCGTGCTCGACGTTGTCCTTGAGGGCGATGTCAGTGCCGCTCTTGTTCTTCCCTATGATGGCCCCCTGGAAGCTGAAACCGTGGTTGTCGTCACCTACGATCACAACGGACCAGGCATCGTCGCTCGGCTTCTTCGGGTTTTTGGAACCGTCCGTGAAGATATGGATTTTTGCTCCTTCCTGGAGTGGTCGTTGTGGGTGGTGGCGGAGCATGTAGTCGGCTGTCTCGTTGAGGCACTCGTCGCATAGGTCAAAATTCATGTGGGGAGATGGTGATTGCTGTATCGTTTGTCGGATGTTTGGTCGCTCGTCGAATTGTACGCTGCGCTGCTCTAGCAGCGGGGGTGGCATGTCGGGTGTTGTCGTTGGCTGGTTGGGTGGTGCTGGGGGCTTGACGCTGGTGGCTCTGAATGGTTGAGTGGCCTTCCCTCTTGCTCGATGTACACACTGGTCCGCAGTATGTGTCTGTGCTTGGGCGTCGGACAGACGCGTCGATGTTGGGGGGTGGGGGATAGCTGTGGTTCGAGAGCGGAAGGGTTGCATGGCGCGTCCCCTGTCGGTATGCTTGGCGTCTAGGTATGTGGCTTCGATGTCGTAGATCTCTCGTGGATCTATCCAGTTGGCTGCCACTGGGACGGGTGGTGCTGCGTCGTCTCCTCTGGGCGTCTGCGCCGCTTCGCTGCGCATCCATGGCCTGTGGAGTAAGTCTTGGTGCTGCTCCTCAGGTTGTTGCAGTCCTTGCTGCTGCGGCAGCTGCAATCCTTGCTGCTGCTGACGTCGGCTGTCCTCCTCCTCCTCATCCTCCTCATCCTTCTCCTCCTCGCGGTCAACATGTGAAGGGGCAGACTCACCGGGGGATGCATCGATCCCCCATCCCACATGGATCGCCCGTAGAGGCTTGATGCGCCACCCCGCCTAGGACTGCTCGGATTTGCTATCAGCAGCCATCGCCGATTTGTGGGCGATGCACTTCCGATTTCAACTCGATGTTTCCCACCCTGAGCCCGTCCCTAGGGCCTTAGGCGGAGGAGCTCCCTCCCTATCAGGCCATGACACGTGTGAAGGTTGTGCCACAATGGGTTGGGAGACGCTATGCGACATCCCATTGGAGCTTCAGGTGGAGGTCCCTGTGGACCACGGAACGTGTGAGCGGTGTGCCGAAACGAATAGGCTGGAGGACGCTATGCGACCCCTTCTCCCTGCGGGGGGCGTCGGTTGAGCTCGCTATAGGACCACGGAACGAATGAAGAGTCTGCTGAATTGGATTGGGTGACGTTATACGAACCCCCGTCCCTGGGGCCTTCTCTGGAGGTCTCTACTGGACCACAGAACGTATGAGGGGTGTTCCGAAATGGGCTGGGGACGCCATGCGAGCTCCCACCTTGAGGGCTTCGTTGGAGCTCGTTCTTGTGCCACGAAGCGTGTAAGGGGTGTGCCGAAACGTGCTCGCGGAAAGTAGAGGCAGAAACGGAAGGGGTGGAGGAGGAACGGGAGGGCGCGGGGCTCGGCGGATTCAAAACGAGGGCCCAGCTCAGCCGCGGATGATGTTCTGAATTATGAGGCAAGACCCGCTATGGAATTCGGTTTCTTGGGTGTCGATGGTTTCGCCATGGAAAGCGTGACGCTCCCACACCAAATGTCAATGGACATCCTGGGGTTTGGGGGTTGGGTTTCCTGTGGGAGGTTTCTTGTGGTCGATTTCCTAGTATAAAAGCTGGGTGGGAACTACAGGCAAACCGCACATTAAGGAGGGGCGACTTTCCAGGGTTGCCCTTACATCCTTGGACGGGGCTAGGACGATTCTGGAACGCTCTCAGAGCCTTCCGGAGCCCTCGGAGAAGGCCGCGGCGCCCGGGACATCCTCCCAGAGCCGCCGGATTTGATAGATTCTCGATTTCTCCTCACCCGATTTTATCCTCGTCCTGGCTTCGTCTCGCATCCTTCCCCTTCGGCCCATCCTTGGCCGCTTTCGCTGGCTGTTTGCAACTGCGGCCTTCGGTGAAGCCCCCTGCGGGGCCGCGAAACGCGTGAGGGGTGCGCCGAAATGGTGTGGAGAAGGCGTGCGTACGCAGCTACTGGGGTTTTCGGTGGAGCCCCTTTGCCCCGAAACGTGCGAGTGGTGCGCCGAACTAGTGTGGAGAGTTCCCGCGAAAGCAGGCGCTGGACTTTCGGTGGGGCTCCTTGTCGGGCCACGGAACGTGTGATGCGTGCGCCGACATGCAGTGGAAAAGGTATGCGAACGCAGCCACTGAGGCCTCGGGTGGAGCGTGGAGTTCCCTAGGGGGCCAGGAGGCGTGCGAGGGGTGTGCCGAACTGGTGTGGAGAGTATGCGATCGCAGCCGCTGGGGCCTTCGGTGGAGGCCCCGTTCGAGGCCACGAAGCGTGTGATGTGTGCGCCGGAATGGTGTGGAGAAGGCATGCGAGCGCAGCAGCTGGGGCCTTCGGTGGAACTCCTTTGTAGGGCCACGAAGCGTTTGAGGGGTGCGCCGAAATTGTTTGGAGAAGGCATGCGTACGCAGCCACTGGGACCTTCGGCGGAGACCCCTGTGGGGCCCCTAAACGTACGAGTGGTGCGCCGAAGTGGCGTAGGGAGAACGTCTGCGGACATAGCCGCGGGGGCCTTCGGTGGAGCTCCCCCACGGGGCCGCGAAACACGTGAGGGTGTGGTGTGGAGACGGCATACAAACGCGGTCACTCGGGTCGTCGATGGGGGTCCCTGTGGGGCCAGGAGGCGCGCGAGGGGAGCGCCGAAGTGGTCGGGGGGACGCTCTGCGCCCCCCCCCTCCCCTGGTGCTTCGGTGGTGCTTCCCTGTGGGGCCACGCAGCGTCTAAGGGGTGTGCCGAGATGGCCCGGGGGGGGACGCCGTGCGGCCCCTGCCCTCCCTGGGAGCATTGTGCGGGGTACCCCCCACGATGTCTGAGGGGGAGAGAGGGGGGTTCACGTCGTTCGGGAGCTCCCGAGCGAAGTGAACCCCACCCTCCACATCAGACATCGTGTGGGGTAGGGGTAGGGTTCGCATGTGGCCCCCTAGTGAGGAGTGAGCCATAATTGACATGGAGACGGCTGGGGCAGGGATGGGAGGAGGGAGGAGGGCCAGGAGGGAGGACATGCGGGGCGCTGCTGATTCAGAGCGAGGACCCAACATTGCAAAATGGTTGGGGACACGAAAGATTCCTGAGGCAAGACCGATTGGGGAAAGTTATGTTCGAACGCACGTAAGGACCTTTTAGGCAAGCCTAATCGTGGAACTTTGTGATATCGGAGACTGTCCTTGAAGCAACGGGGTCGATGTCCAGCACGATCTGCCGTTCGAAACCACCCGGGGGGGTGACATTAGCAACACGTTGGCTTGAGATATTTGGAGATCCACTGGTATTGTGCTGCCCTTCTGCCAAGACGTCTGGGCAATCAGCGACGTTTCCTTTTACTGGTCGGAATTACGAAGCTGACAGCCGTGACTCGTTCGTGTTTCTCATTGGCCTTTGTTGCAGGGGCCGGGGTCGTGGGCCAAGGGCCGTTGCCTCGACCAGATGATGGGACATCGGGGCCCCTTGACCAGGACCCGCACAGTCCCATTTGTTGATGTTGATGTGGCAGCTTCTTTCCTGTACTTCCCTTCAAGTCTCGCGTTGACGCTTTCGCGATGTCCAGGTCGAGCATGGCGAGCTGGAGGCCCTGCGGCTCAAGATCGGCGCCTCTGAAGGCGAGAACGAGGCGGAATCGGGGGGCCTGCGTTTCGCTGTGTGTGTGTGTGCATACGTTTCCGTCGCAATCCACGCCTCATTGACTGCGAGGCAAGTCCATGAACACCGCCGCGACAATGAGCCTCGCACAAGTGTCGGCCCGTTCAAGGCTTGTCACACCTATGTCAATCTTGATCATCCGTTCTACATCAGCGTGTCAGGCTGCTCCCGCCTGCTTCTCGCTACACTCTTCCGTGTAAGTGGCTCGATCTGTAGTCTCCTCTGCCACTCTTTGAATCTTTTCGGGCCAGCTTGTTCAACTATCCTGCCGTCCTAAAGGACAAGCGGGCCCAGACGACACCAACAACTGTTGAAAGTCTCCTCAAGCGCCTAAGAGCCCTTAGGAGGCCCCCGAGATACCCTCGTAAGCTTTCGCAATTTAGAAGTGAACCACACATTCGGTGCGGATATGCTCTGTGTGCTCGTGGGTGCTTAACATTTCTAGCACCTTTTTATTGTTTGTTGTTGTTTGGAGCGTCTGAGTACGAGTGTGCCAGAATGGCCGAGAACAGGTGAGTGCTCGTATGAGCGGCGGGACGTGAATGGGTCTAGGGGCGAGTGGGCCCGCCCGTGCGTGGCAGAGATTCATCGATTCTATAGGCGTACGCCACATCCGCCGACCCCTTTGTTCGAAAAGCGCTGTGGTTTCTCTGGGGTCGCATGCAGTGTCGGCACCATTATCCTGCAATGTTGCGTGCAGCGTGTGGTCGTGAGGAGGAGGAAGAGGAGAAGGAGGAGACGGAGGAGGAGGAGGAGGAGGTGATCGCGGGGATCTCTTGGGGGGCTTCTCGCGGGACTCTTGGAGGCAGTTTCGAAGCCTCTTGGGGGCCGTTTTGGGGCCGTTTGGGGCCCTCTTGGGGGCCTTTTGGGGTTTCTTAGGGGCGTCTTGGGGGCCTCTTGGGGCCTCTTGGGGCCTTCTTGGGCCGTCTTGGGGCGGAAGGCTCGGATTGTCGGTTCAAGCTCCCCCTCTTGGGCTCCTCTTGGGGCCGTCTTGAGGCCCTCTTGGGCCGTCTTGGGGGCCTCTTGGGCCGTCTTGGCGCCCTCTTGGGCCGACTTGGGCGCCTCTTGGGGGCCTCTTGGGCCGTCTTGGGGCGGTGTTGGGGTGCTCTTGGACCGTCGTCCACGCCGTAAAGGCCGACAAGTCGTACATGATGAAAATGTTCGTTTTCCCATAGGCATTTGACGATTTTCGGCTCTTCGGCCCTTCTGAGGACTGCTCTTGGAGGCCTCTTGGGCCGTCTTGGAGGCCTCTTGGCTCGTCTTGGGGCACTCTTCGGCGTCTTGGGGCGCTCGTTTGGGCGTCTTGGGGCGGAAGGCTCGGATTGTCGGTTCAAGCTCCCCCGGGCCCCTCTTGGGCCCCTCTTGGGCCGTCTTGGGGCCCTCTTGGGCCGTCTTGGGGGCCTCTTGGGCCGTCTTGACGCCCTCTTGGGCCGACTTGGGCGCCTCTTGGGGGCCTCTTGGGCCGTCTTGGGGCGGTGTTGGGGTGCTCTTGGACCGTCTTCAACGCCGTAAAGGCCGACAAGTCGTATATGATGAAAATGTACGTTTTCCGATAGGAATTTGATGATTTTCGGCTCTTCGGCCCTTCTGAGGACTGTTCTTGGAGGCCTCTTGGGCCATCTTGGAGGCCTCTTGGCTCGTCTTGGGGCCATCTTGGGCGTCTTGGAGCGCTCGTTCGGGCCGTCTTGGGGCGGAAGGCTCGGATTGTCGGTTCAAGCTCCCCCTCTTGGGCTCCTTCTTGGGGCCGTCTTGAGGCCCTCTTGGGCCGTCTTGGGGGCCTCTTGGGCCGTCTTGGCGCCCTCTTGGGCCGACTTGGGCGCCTCTTGGGGGCCTCTTGGGCCGTCTTGGGGCGGTGTTGGGGTGCTCTTGGACCGTCGTCCACGCCGTAAAGGCCGACAAGTCGTATATGATGAAAATGTTCGTTTTCCCATAGGAATTTGACGATTTTCGGCTCTTCGGCCCTTCTGAGGACTGCTCTTGGAGGCCTCTTGGGCCGTCTTGGAGGCCTCTTGGCTCGTCTTGGGGCCATCTTCGGCGTCTTGGGGCGCTCGTTTGGCGTTTCGGGGTCCTCGTGGGCCGTCTTGGAAACGTCTTGGGACCTTCGTGGCCCGTCTTGAGCCCCATCTGGGCCCAAAAGAGGCCCGTGAGTCGCCAGGCGTGGGCCCGGGGGGGGGGGGTCAAATCGCCGGTTTGGGGTCCCTGGGGGGGGGACTATGGGGGGGGAACTATCTCACACGCCTAGAGACCCACAAGGGGTCGGCGGACTTCGAGTGCGAGCGGGCCTGAGTGTGATGGGCTCGGGGCAGGAGTAAGCTCGGGCAGTACTGAGGGGATGCTGCAGGTCGTCGTTTTCCCATTCAGTGTTTTGCCGATCGACGCGGGCCCTCGCCCCCCCCCCCCGGCCTCCCCCGCCCGTGGAGTAGATCTTTGCTGGTTTCGGCGCCTGTTTCAGGCAGGTGGGGCCTTCCCCACATGACGCACTATGGCAGATAGCCGCACTGAGCAGAGGTCCGGAACCGGAAGCCCCCCCCCCCTCCGCCCAATGTCGACACGCCGAATAAGAAGACGTTCACGAGCTTGGGCGCCCGAGAGGTCCCCACACCTCACCGCCGCGAGGCCTTGCGCGCCCAGCTGCGGGCGGCCGAGGAGAGGCGCGGCCCTCAGTCTCGCCTCACTGCGCCGACTAGGGCGATGGGCAGCGCGAGGGGGGGCAGGGCAGTGGACGGAGCTGGGGGCATGCAACTCCTGGGGGTCGGGGCTCAAGAGACGTGGGTCAATGCAAACGGGGGTCATTCAGAGCGCCCGACCTTGCAGGATCCTGCAGGTCCAGGGTCGCACTGACCCGGATTTGGGTGCAGGGCCTTGCAGGATTCTTCGCATTGACCCGGGTTTGGGTGCAGGATCTTGTAGGATCTTGCAGGACTCTGCAAGGCCTGACTGACCCAGGTCTGGATTGACCCGGGTCAGAAGATTCTCCGAGAGGGTTCATTCAGCATCGGCGCTGGTTTATCTGTGGGCGAAAACCAGCCTGACCCGGCGTAGTCCAGCCCAATGTAGCGTGCCCCGGCGTAGTCCCGCCCAGTGTGGCCCGATGCGGCTCAATCTGGCTTCCTCCCAGGCTGAAGGCAGCCTGGTTCGGCTGAATGTCTTCCTAAGGGGGTGGCAACCGCCAGACAGGAGCAAACTATTGTTGGTTCAAAGCAGCCGAGAGCCCTTCGCGCAGACTGATCGAGAAGGTTGCGTAATGCCACGTAACATTGTTTCAGTCTGCTTTCATTCGCGCCGGCAGCATGTTGGGGAATGGTACGCTCACCACGAACATCAGACCAACACCCAGAATGCTTGTTACGCCACCTCAATGGCGCTGTGGACCACATCTAGCGGAGGTGACATCTGGAACAATATGGTACATGCCGTTCGCGTTTACAGGAACGAGGTTTCCGTGTCTACATGTGTATGCACGGCCGGATGCAAATCTAATTTTCACGCCGTTGGTCAACACTGGCCTCTCGTAGTAGACCGACAGATGGGAACGGCTGATGGTGGGGATTGTAAATACACCAGACGTGGAGGCCAGAAGCAGAGTGGAGCAGAGGGACCTTCGCGAGGCACTGGGTACTGCGAGCAGCGTACGGTGAACTTCTGTAGAGCGCGGGAGTCTGTTGAGCCAGTAGGGTGCCGTTTGAGGGCACGGAGAGCTTCGGAGCACAGTGAGCGAGCGTCGAACACGTACGCGATGCGAGCGCTCGGCGATTTTCGCGTGCTTATACTCTGTTATCGAGGACGGGTGCGGCGAATCACCTCCAAAGGGTCTCTTGGGGGCCCTCTCGGGGGCCTTCCGGGTGCTCTCTTGGGCCGTCTTGAGGTGCTTTGGGGCCCTTTGGCGTCTTCGTTTGCCGTCTTGGGGGTCTGTCTGCACCGTCTTGGGGACCTTGGGGCTCTTCACGGCCAGCTTGGGCTCACTTGGTCCCTCTTAGAGCCCTCGTGGGGCCCTCTTGAACCGTTTTTGGGCCCTCTTGGGAGCCTCTTGGGCCTTGGGGCGTTCTTGGGTGCCATCTTGGGCCGCCTTTGGCTTTCGGAAGCCCGAACTGATGAGAACACGGAAACTTGAGACACATAAGGATCATCTCTGATCTTGGTCTCTTGGAGGCCGCCTGGAGGTTTTTGTTTACCCTTTTGTGGTGTCTTGCGGCCCCTTTGGCAGTCTTGAGGCCATCATGGGCAGTGTAAGAGGCATCTATTGGCCATCGTGAGCTCTCGTCGGTCCACTGTGGCTCTCTTGGACGTGTCTTGGAGCCGTCCTGGACAAATCCCGACCGCGCGCAAGTGCGCCTGGGATTTTCGTGGGTTCCAGGCTTGGAGCCTCAAGACAAATATCTATAAAACCATGGAGTCGTGACTTCAAGTGGCCTGGACGACACTCCAAACGGTGCCTCGCGGAACTGTGTCAGAACTCATGCGCGCACGTGCACGACGAAGTCTTGGTTTCAGCAAAGCAGGAGTCAGCGGGCCCGCCTGCAAATCGGGATCCTTGTTTGGTGCCAACATTAATGCCATTGGGCTCCACCACTTTCGTTCACTCTACTCCATCTCCCCTCCCCTCCAATTGCCCCCTTGTCTCTCCTTGTCCTTGGGCTTCTCCCTCTGACTCCTCCTTCTTCTCCTCCTGTTTCTTTGCACTCCTCCTTGGTTCCGTCTCCGCCTCATTTTTCCCTCCTTTCTCTCCCCCATTCACAGTAACTCATTCGAAATACCATTCTCTTCTCTCCCCTGTCAACGTTGCGGCGTTCTACAGTCCGCATCGGTCTTACACGCAGGAGTTCATTATCTTGTCTGTCTCGTGTGCTGCTGCGCAAGAAGACTGTTGTCGTACCGCTGTTTCGGCGTTCACACTTCATGATTGAAGCATCGCCTTCGTCCATCCGAGAAGCGCCCTCTTCCCAGCGCGTGCCGCATGTCTGTATCCGATTCCTTCCTCGTTGTTGCCGTCCTGCCTCCCCTCGCCTCTCCGTCATCCTCCTCTGCCGCCCTCGTCTTCTTTGCCCAAGGTGCTTCCCGCCGTCGATTGTGCAAACGTTAGACACGCCAATCCGTACAATTGCCACTTTGGGATCAAGATCTACTCCACGAAATTCCGACGTCGTGAAAAGTTGAAGCATTTACAGCAGTCACGACTGAAGCCGCAGACTCCATCTTGATGCGGGACAATTCCAGCAAAATAGATCCGTGGTGGCTTTGGGTCCAGAAAGCAGGCGGACACGCCTGGATATCAGGGTGTGAAAACTGTGCAGCGCCTGGATCTCAGGGTTCCTCCCTCCCGCCCTCCTCCCGCGAAATGAGCCTAGCGGAAGTCTCAACTATATGCAGTTGTGAGTACCGTGGTTGTGAGTGTCGTCTTCGGTGGAGCCCCCTAGGGGGCCACGAAACGTGTGAGTGGTGTACCGAAATGGTGAGGAGAAGGCACGCGGTCCCTGGAACTGGGGCCTTACGTGGAACTCCCGATTGGGCCACGAACCGTGTGAGGTCTGCGCCGGACTTGAGTGGAGAAGGCATGCAGGCCCTTGTACTAAGGCCTTAGGTGGAGCTTCCGATTGGGCCACAAAACGTGTGGGGGTTGCGCCGGAATGATGTCGAGAAGGCATGCGGGCGCAACCACTATGATGGAGCTCTCTATGGTGCCGCGAAGCACGTGTGAGGGGTGCATCGGAATAGTTTGATGGAGAAGGCACGTGGGCGCAACCGTTGGGGCCTTGAATAGAGCTCCGCATGGGGCCACAGAATGTGTGACGGGTGCGCCGAAAGGGTATGCAGAAGGCACGATGTCGTAACCTCTGGGGCCTTAGGTGGAGCTCCCGATGGGACCACGACCCGTGTGAGGGGTGGTGTTCCGACGATGAGGACGCAGATGATGTTGATGATGATGTTGATGATGCTGATGATGATGATGAAGAGGATTAAGAGGATGAAGAGGGAGTAGGATTAGGATGAGGATGAGGTTGAGGATGAGGATGAGGATGATGATGAGGATGGTAATGAGGATGATTATGTTGAGGGTGATGATAGTGCTGATGATGATGGTGATGGTGGTGGTGATGCTGCTGTTGCCGACGATGAGGCTGTTGTTCTTCATGATGCCGATGCTGATGAGGAAGGGGACACTTACTCTTATTGTTGACGGTGGTGACCATACTGTCGTTGATTATGACAATATTGGTGGTGATGGTGATTTGGGTCCAGCCCAGTGGCTGAGACGGCGCATGCCTGTAGCAGTGCCCACAACGGTCGTCAACTCGGCGCGGACATTTCAGACGTCAATTCGGCCCGAGACTACGTTCGCTAAGCCGCCGACTCGGCCCCGACACTTTGCTCGTCAAGACCGAAGTCGTTTTTCACGATCAGCTCGGCCCTGACTTTTGTTCGTCAAGACGAAGGGTGCGGCGAGGGGTGCCGTCAAATGGGTTTGTAACCCCAGAGGCATGCCGTCAAGGGGGTTCGTCAAGGGGTTTCGTCAACTTGGATGGAGGCCGTGAAGGGCGTTCGTCAACTCTGGAAAAAAGGCCTAAAAAGGGGGTTCGTCAACTCGGCGAGTTGACGGCCGAGTCTGTTCACTAAGACAGTATTGACGGCTAAATCTTTCCACTAAGATGGAGTTGGCGGCTCAATCGCAGGATAGAGTATAGATTGTCATCCGTCGGGACGTCCAGGCCAGCGTCTAGACCTGCCTCCCGCGACATACTCAAATCATGGCCTGGAGGCTGATGATGATAGTCGCTTGTGCTAGTGTTGATGACGACGATGTTGATGATGATCGTGGCGATGTTATGACGATGCCGTTAAGGATGATGATCAGGACGATGATGATGATGATGATGATGATGATGATGATGTTGATGATGCTGATGATGCTGATGATGCTGATGATGCTGATGTTGCTGATGATGCTGCTGATGATGATGATGATGATGATGATGATGATGATGATGATGATGATGATGATGATGACGATGACGATGACGACGACGATGACGATGACGACGAGAACATGAGGAGGAGATGATGACGATGGCACACGTCAGAGGAGTGATGAGGGAGGGAAGGAGGCGATGAGAAGGAGGAGGAGAGGAGGGACGCGGGGCGATGCACGGGATGGGCCGGGAGAGCGAGCTCCCCCCGCGGGCCGCCGGGCGGGGGGGGGCTGGGCGGGCGGCACGCGCAGCGCCCGCGCCTCCCACCCGCCAGCGCGGCCGCGGAGCGCGCGGGCGCGGCCGCGGAGCGCGAGCGCTGCGGCGCGCTCGCGGGGGACGCGGAGGCGCTTGGCGCCAGGCTGCAGCGAGCGGAGGCCGGGGCGCGGGCTGACGGGGCTTCGAGGCTCGGGGATTTCGAGCGGCCTCGGCATACCTATGTATTTATATGTGTATGTATGTTTATATGTGTGTGTATATATATATATGTATATATATTCTTTGGAAGGAGAGTCCCGTGCGGGGCTTGTCCAAGGAGGGTTGTCCGGTGGGGTTGTCCAGGTCCCCGCTGGGTTGACCAAGGGGTTTTCCTGGGTAAGCCGTCTTGTCGTCATTCATCCGCGTGGATTGTTTGGTTTGTCCGGGAGGTTGTCCAGGGTTTTGTTTGTGATCGGATTTGTTTACGTTGAACACAGCGGGTGCATTATGCGTGAGAGTTTTTTGAAACATGAGTTGTTGTCTTCTCTGGGTCTTGAGCCAAGGCCAGTGGAGACCAACAGGCGCCTGTATGCACTACCAGGCGCCAGTGGGGAGATGGATAGACTCTGCTGGACGCCCATAGGGCAGAACCTGTCTTGAAGCCCGTCCAGCACATGATACAAGTAAGTTTCGTCGGTCCTCGGCGGCGTCCAGCCTCGGGAGGCCCTCCGGCGGCCGCGCCTGGCGGAGAGCGCTCCGCGGTGGACCCGGGTCGTCCCGAGTGGCCGCCGGAGGGCAGAGCTATGACCCGAAAACCAGGGGGCAACGGAAGGGTTACGTCGGGCCTGTCCCTCTACAGGGGGAATATTCAAAAATATTCCAAAAATAGTCGGGGGACTTTTTGTTGACCATTCTTGGGCATCTTTTGATCATTTTGGGGGTATTTTTTGTTTTTCCTCCAAAATCGGCCTGTAGGGGGACAGGCCCGACTTAACGTTAGGGGGTGACAGGCTCAGTGTGGGATGCACCGACCCCCAATCGTCCATTCATCGCCGATGGGGGCCTGATGGCCCAGCCCGCCCAGGGATGTGCTGTCGATACCATCGGAGGTCTATCGCCTGCCTATCTACCGGGGATGCATCACCGATTCAGGCTCGATATCCCCCTGAGCCGTTTCCCCCCTGATGTTGCCCATTTCGATCCGCTCGATCCCATTCGATATCAGCTTCAGCCTGCCCGATGCGATTCGATGTTTCGATTTTCGAGAGTTCCGATGGGGCCCCAGGCGTGCATGGTGCTGTTGTGCATCATGGCTCCTCCGCTTCGATTAGATTTCGACTCCGTGGCGATGCGGCCCGATTCGATATACGTTCGCTGTTCTGGACGGGCCGCGGGACCGCTAAATAACAACTCAGGATGAAAAGCGGGTCCCAGGAAACGGGTCCATGTTGTGGAGGTTGATTGACGTCCTAAAACGTTTGGGCGCCCGGTAGCGGGGGGACAATTCACAGGGACATGTCAGGACCCATTCTGGCTCGATCGATCCAGTTTGATACGATACCGATTTCGCCCGTCCCGCTCCGATTCGGCTCCGGTATTCGACGGTTCGATGCCGCCCGATGCTCGCATGGTGTCGTTGTGCACTTTGGCGCGGCCGATCCGATTCGATTGGGATTTTGTGCCGAAACAGCCCGATCCGACGCACATTCTGGTTTGATCCGCTTTCCCGCTTCTATGCTGAATGATCCTGGGATTGTCAAGAGAAGCCGTCGTTTCTTTATTCACGAGGGCCCGGATGGAGCAACCAGGCAAGGAAACATTTTTTTCAGGAGGGCAGAAATAGGATCAGAAGCAATCCGGACGATGGCCCGCCGCAGTCCTTGCCCATTTTTGACTGGGTCAAATGTTCTTGTCAGTTTTACATGAAGATCATCCTCCCATGTTGATTTTGAGGAACGTTTGATGTTAGGAATCGTCATTTGTTGGTACTTTCCGTCTCCTTGGGCGTGCGCCTGGCAGGGGCAGAGGCGCGTTGACGATGCGTGTGCATTTCTGTTTGGTTGGTGCCCGTCTCTGTTTGGGTCTCCCTCGGGGAGTGTTTCTTGTCCTGCAAACGAGTTGCAGTCGCATGTAGGCGTGCGCAAAGGGCGTTAATCAACAGGGGATGTGGGAGAGGAAGGGGGAGAGACTAGTCGCTGTTGCTGATGCTGGGGGCGAGAACACAGCTAATTCTCTGAGGTTCGCTGCTTCGGAGCTTGCCGAGTCATCCATGCATCCGCCTCTCTGGCTGTTCTTTTCGATTGTGCGCAGACTTGGGGCTACGTATCTGGTACACGTTGTGACGCGCTGTTACTACGTAGCCCAGTATCAGTGTAACAACGGCGCCCCGCTCTACATGCACAGTGGCTACGTCTGGCAAGGTACTGGGTTGGATGACGTTTCGCCAGCTCTTGTCCAGGCAGCGGGAAAACGTATTGCGGGCAAGTTCAAACACAACATGGTTCAGTCGTATCAAAGGCATTGGCACGAGCATCGTAATACATCAGGACCATCGCACATACGACCACCAGACATGTCACACCATTGGGTGCGTTCGGCAGCAAATTCTTTGTTGTGGACGACGTCCGTTAAATCTGCTTCGGCGTTCTCATCCAGTTGCCTGCTGTAAGCCCCGCCACCGTCCAGGCCCAACATGTTTGATGGCAACTGTCTCCAGGCTTGGAAGAACCGTGATATGATGATTATACGGATGATGGTTACGACGATGATGATGATGATGATGATGATGATGATGATGATGATGATGAACGTGATGATGATGATACTGTTGACGGTGTTGTCGATGATGGTGAACATTCAGAGGAAGACGGGGCTGATAGGGGTGATGATAATGGTAGTTGTGATGCTTTTGATGGTGATGATGACGCTGACGATGGCAATAACAATGCCGCCGACGACTACGACTAAGACATCGACGACGACGACGGTGATGATGATGCTCATGATGATGGTGTTGATGAGGAGGAGTTTGAGGAGAGGAATATGATAGGGGGTGCTGCTTATGTGGCTGCTATTGGAGATGATGATGACGTTGGTGGCGATAATGATGGCTGTGATGATCGTTATTACCACGACGATGATGACGACCTTGCCGCCGATGAAGACGAAGATGATGATTATGGTGGTGGTGAGAAGGATGATCATGACGCTGCTATTGCTGCAGACGATGCTGTGGGTGATGGATATGATGATGCTGACGATGATGCGTATGACGATTCTGACGACACCGGCGATGATGATGATGCTGTTGATGATGATCATGTTGATTGAGATGATGATAATGTTGATGTTGACGATGATGATGTCGATGCTGACGATGATACCGATGATGATGATGTTGATGATCATGATGATGGCGTTGATGCTGATAATTCTGATGATGAAGGTGACGATGATGATGCCAATGCTGACCATGATTATGGTTATCGTGGCGATGGCGATAGCCGTTGTGTTAATACTGATGGTGGTGATGGTCATGTTGATGTCGATGAGGTATAATACAACGGCGATGATGATGATGATGATGCTGATGATGATGATGGCAAGGATGATGCCGATGCTGATGATGATGATGTTGCTGATGATGATAACGATTACGATGCAGATGATGCTGATGCTGAGGATGATGATGATGCTGATGTTGATGATGACGATGACTATGACGATGCCGACGTCGACGATGATGATGATGATGACGATGATGTCGATGCTGACGATGATACCGATGATGATGATGATGTTGATGATCATGATGATGGCGTTGATGCTGATAATTCTGATGATGAAGGTGACGATGATGATGCCAATGCTGACCATGATTATGGTTATCATGGCGATGGCGATAGCCGTTGTGTTAATACTGATGGTGGTGATGGTCATGTTGATGTCGATGAGGTATAATACAACGGCGATGATGATGATGATGCTGATGATGATGATGGCAAGGATGATGCCGATGCTGATGATGATGATGACGATGATGATGATAACGATTACGATACAGATGATGCTGATGCTGAGGATGATGATGCTGATGTTGATGATGACGATGACTATGACGATGCCGACGTCGACGATGATGATGATGATGACGATGATAATGATGCTGATGATGATGATGCTGATGATGATGATGATGCTGATGCTGATGCTGATGATGATGCTGATGATGATGATGCTGATTATGATGATGACGATGATGATGATGATGATGATGCTGATGATGATGATGATGATGGTGATGGTGATGGTGATGGTGATGGTGATGGTGATGGTGATGATGATGAGGAGGAGGAGGAGGAGGAGGAGGATGATGATGATGGTGGGGGAATCATGCTGATAATGCAGAGGAGCAGACGCAGGAGCAGGAACAGGAGCAGGAGGAGTGCCGGTATGAGGAGGAGGAGGAGGAGGAGGAGCAGCTGGAGGAGGTTCAGGAAGAGGAAGGCCCTCACAGGTGGCACCTTTCGTATTCATTGTTTGGGGAGCCCCCTATGGGATTCGTTTGGCCGTCTTAGAGCTATCTTAGCCTCCTGTGAGGCAGTCTTGGGGGGTCCTCAGTGCGCTTTGGGCCGTCGTGGGGCTCTTTTACGCAGTCTTTGGGCTCTCTTAGTCTGTACTGGGGCTCTCTGAGCCGTATGGTGGGTATCTGCGGGCCGCCGTGGGGCGGTATTCACGCCGCTTTGGGGCGTCGAAAGGCCTTCTAAGGTTGTATTGGATGTCTCTTGGGCAATCGTGGGGTCGTTCTGGGCCATCTTGGGATCCTCGTGGGGGCCTCTGGGGCCTTATTGGGCCGTATGGAGCTGCTTGGGGATCCCTTTGTGGCACTTTTGGGACCTCTTGGAGGCATCTTGGGCCGTCGTCAGGCAAATTCTGTCTTGGAGCTGTCTGGGGCCTCCTTCGAGTCATCTCGGGCCACCTTGGTGTCTTTGGTTTCCTGCGTATTCTGTTTTGGAAGCTCTGGACGCGGACCCATGTCATGAACGAGGGATCGTGTCTTCGGGAGCGCGGATTCATGGTTCCCAACCATCCTGTGGTGTTGGGTCCTCGTTTTGGGGAGACAGCGCCCCGCGTTCCCCCTCCCCTCCTTCCGCTCATCCCTCCTCCCATCCTTGCCGTTTGCCCTCCGCATGCGTCTGCTTCGTCACATCCCGCATGTCCACTTCGGCACACCCCTCGCACGCCTCGTGGCCCCATAGGGAGCTCCACCGAAGGCCCCAGAGGCAGCGCCCGCGTGCACTTCTTCCCCCATTTCAGCACAACCCTTCCACGCTTCGTGGCCCCATGGGGAGCTCCACGGAAGGCCCCAGTGGCAGCGCCCGCATGCGGTTCCACCCTCCATTTTGGCACACCGCTCACACGCTTCGCGGCCACATAGGGAGCTCCACCGAACGCCCCAGTGGCAGCGCCCGCGTGCAGTTCCACCTCCAGTTCGGTGCATCCCTCACACGCTTCTTGGCCCCATAGGGGGCTCCACCGAAGGCCCCAGTGGCAGCGCCCGCGTGCACTTCCACCTCCAGTTCGGTGCATCCCTCACACGTTTCGTGGCCCCACAGCGCGCTCCACCGACGTCCACACTGACAGCGCCCGCATGAGGTGCCATCCCATGTCTGTGCACCCCTCACACGCTTCGCGGCCCCATAGGGAGCTCCACAGATGACCCCGGTTGCAGCGCCCGCATGCAGTTTCACCCTCCACGTTGGCGCACCCCTCACACGGTCAGTGGCCTCATGTGGAGCTCCACCGAAGGCCCCAGTGGCAGCGCTCGCATGCAGTTCCGCCTCCATTTCGGCACAACCCTTCAAACGTTTCGTGGCCCCATATGGAGCTCCACCGAAGGCCCCCGTGGCAGCGCCCGCATGCTGTTCTTCCCCCATCTCAGCACAACCCTTCCACGCTTCGTGGCCCCATATGGAGCTCCACGGAAGGCCCCAGTGGCAGCGCCCGCATGCGGTTCCATTTTCCATTTTGGCACACCGCTCACACGCTTCGCGGCCACATACGTAGGGAGCTCCACCGAACGCCCCAGTGGCAGCGCCCGCGTGCAGTTCCACCTCCAGTTCGGTGCATCCCTCACACGCTTCTTGGCCCCATAGGGGGCTCCACCGAAGGCCCCAGTGGCAGCGCCCGCATGCGGTTCCATTTTCCATTTTGGCACACCGCTCACACGTTTCGCGGCCCCATAGGGAGCTCCATTGATGGCCACACAGGCAGCGCCCGCGTGCGAACCTCTCACATCTTTCGTTGCACCATATGGTGCTCCACCAAAGGTCCTAGTGGCCCTTGTTGCTGGCCCCCCTCCTTCATGTCATGTCCCTGGCGATGCTCGAAGGTCCCAGTTGCAGCGCCAGCATGGCGGCCCCGCCACATTAGGGCACATCCTTTATTCGCTTCGAGATCCTAGAAGGTAATCCACCAGGCGATGCTCACAACGGCGGTTCTCACAACTGCATATGGTTGTCTCCGTTCCCAGTCTACTTTTTTGCGAGGGCTCGTGGCCTCTGGAAAAGAGGGGGAGTCCCTTATCTAAAGCAGAACCCTACCAGTCAGCACTTGGCATCCTACCACGCCTCAACGTGCCAGGGCGAACGGTGGCAGATTCCAGGTTTCTGGGCAGCGGCCAGTGTGCCAGGGCCTTGTTGAGACAACGGCGGTTCTCCCGCCCAGCCCGCATCCGATCGAAGCTCGCCCATCCTGACCCGCGCTTTCCGAGGCGGATCCAGGCGCGCCGCCGTTGCGGGGCTGCAGCCGCGACTCCTCTTCGAAACGATCCGCTTCGGTCCACAAGCATCGGCCGGGGTGCCAGCCGGCGCCGGGCGCGGCGGTTCGATTTCGAGGCGATCCGCGACGAGTCGCTGGCGTTCCGGCCCCTTTCGAATCCGATCCGATCTCTCGATAGGATCCACCGTTGCCTCAACGGTCGGAGGAAAATCGGAAACTGGAACGTATACATTACCAGAGGCGGGCTGTTTTTCAATCCCAGGATTTTTTGAGGGTCGGGGACGACGTCGGGGTGGTGTGGTGTATGCCTGTTTTACCGTTTAACGCAACATGTATACACCAGGATTCCGTATACACCAGGATCCGCGTTCTTATGCGAATGTCAATGCGGGGCCGGAAAGAGCGTCGGTGTATAGAGTTTGGCTCCTCAGAAAAGGTACCCATACCGATACCATCGCCTCGTTTTCCCCTTTTGCGGCCTCCTGGGAGGCCCTCGTCGCCACCAATGGATTCGCCTCGAAAGGGCTTGGGGTGGTCAGGTGTACACGACCGTCGTTGAAATTATTCATTGTTGGGTAAATTATCAAGATCCCAATCTGTTTCAACCGCCTTCCTACTTCAGGAGTCGAGTGGTTTCCCTCTTCCCTCCTCTTCAGGGGGCGGGCGGAAGCTCAATTTACTTTCAACGCCTTCCTGCTCCATGTTTCTACCCACTTGTTCCGACCGACGGGTGGCTTCGCCTCCTGGGCCCGAGCCGCAGTTGTCCAAGATCGGCGTTGTCCCGGATTACTCGGGCGTCCAACAACAAGTTCCGAGTCATCGGGACTGGGGGTGGTCAGGGGTAATTCCTGGTTCGCGCGTCGGTGGCCCAAAGAGGAGTTACCCTATACCGGAGTTTTCCCGGATAACTCGAGACCCCAACGTCAGGCTGCCCTCATTGGTGCCTGCGCGAGTGCTGGGCGTGGCAGGGGAGGCGGCGGCGGCGAAAGAGACGGAGGATCGCGAGGCGGCGGCCAAAGCGGCGGAGGATCGCTGGAGGCCAGCCGGGCCGCATGCGTGCGCGTGTTCACGCCGAGGGGTTCGACCCCAGTGCGGTCCCTCTCGCCTCCAGGACTGCACAGGGTAGCTCAGGATGGCTTTAGACTCGAGGCAGTCTCCAGCATGCCTCCGAGAGGCCCCAACACCCTTCGAAGACGATGCCAAGCGGCTTCAAGGATGCCCGGAGAGGCCACCATCCGTACAACTCTTTAGGACACTACTGATTTGTGCCTTCTCGCCTGTTTGCTTCCGATGGGCTTCCGAGGCCTCGAAATGGTTCCAACACGGCCCAAGAGAGCTCCTGGGGCTCCGAGAGTGGCGGCAGGTTAGTGTTCCAGAGCTGTCAGGGGTCGAGGTGTTGTTTCGTCTGCGTGTGAGGGGCCCTGCGGGGGACACCAGGTTGCCAGAAATCGGCGCACGGAGCAACCAGGGTGCCTCGTCGATCCGTTTCTTTGGGGGCAGCTCGAGTCTCCTTCCAGGGCCCAGAAGGTGGAGGCGTTGTCTCTTGGAGTACCCAGATCTGCGACGGCTCATTTTGTTCGCACGTGGGAGCAATTCGCGGGATCTCCGAGGGGCCCAGAAGCAGCCACAATTTTTTGCTTCGGGGCACCCATGGAAACGATGTCCAACTTGGTCTTTGTGCGGGAGGCCACCAACCCATCCTGGGGTTAGCTTTGAAGAGAGCACCTGTTGCTAATCCTTCCGTCTCCCGCCTCCTCCCTCTTCCCGCCTTGTACCTCATATTTGCTCTTGTCTTGGGCGTCTTGGGTGCCTGGGCCTCTTGGGGCCGCTTGGGGTCCTCTTGGGGGCCTCCTGGGGGCCTCCTGGGGGCCTCTTGGGGGCCTCTCGGGGCCATTTTGGGGTCATCTAGGAGCCTCTTGGGGCCTCCTAGGCGCTTCTTGGGGCCATCTTGGAGGACATCGATCAAAGAAGAGGGCCCCCCCAAGAGGCCAAAAGGCTGCCCAAACCTTAGCAAACCAATGGTTTTGGCTTCCTGGCCGAGGCCGTTTTGGACGCCCTTACCGCTCGCGACCGGCCCCGTCCAGGTCCAGGGAAGGGGTAGGTGGAGGGGGCAAGACTCCCTCCCCACCCGCTCTGCCAACACATACGTAACACCCGAGTCTGGCCCGAGCCTCGGCATATTCAGCAGTCGTCTTTGGATGGGCAGCTACTGGGGACCCATCCGCCGCCGCCGCCTCCGCCGCCGCCGCCGGTGCCCGCCGCCGCCGCCGGTGCTCGCCGCCGCCGCCGCCGCCGCGCCGCCGCCGTCGCCGCCGCCCCCCGCTGCCAAATCGCCGCCGCCACAGCCGCTGCCGCCGCAGCCGCTGCCGCCACCGCCGCCGCCGCCGCCACGGCCGCCGCCGCCGCCGCCGCCGCCGCCGCCGCCGCCGCCGCCGCCGCCCCCGCCGCCGCCGCCGCCACCGCCGCCGCAGCCGCCGCAGCCGCCGCCGCCGCCGCAGCTGCCGCAGCCGCCGCCGCCGCCGCCAAGCGTACCTGTTTTTTGTTGACCGGGCTGGTGGGTGGAGGCCGCATCGGGTTGGCTGCGCATGTTCCGACATTGGATGCAGAATGTGTGTGTTGTATTGTTTTTACAAGGGATGGTGGGGGGGTGCCCGCATGGTTCCTAGTTGGCTACCAGTCGCCTGGGGGAGGGGGTGCTTATGAATAGGGAACAGTGATAAACCCCTCCCCGAAGGCAAAGAGGGGGGTTGGAAGAGCCGCACTAGACCACCTACGCCCAGAGGGCTGGCGGGATTTATTCAGACGATGCGCCCCCGGCGTTCAGAAATCATGCTCTCGCTGTGGGTTTTCTCATGATTTCTCTTGGGAATCGCGCTATCGCTCGAGACTTCGTGCGATTCATGCAGGACCCATGCATCAGCAACTGCATGATCGACCTCGTCGCCTGGGCCCGCCTTCCGACCTGCCCGCTATGGGTCTGCCCACCTGATCTGCCCGTCTGGTTCTACCACTTGTGTTTTGTTCCTTGCCCCCTCTCCTGCTAATTTTTATCGTGCTCCATTAACTTCCGTCCCCATTTCACCCGTCCCCTCCTCCCTTGCTTTAGGGGCCCCTGAGGGGATACGATCGAAGACGACGAGGGCGGGTACCGAGGGTTTGGGATATACGTATCGTTTGGCACGTGAGCAGATTGCAGCGAACAGTCTTAACAATATTGTTGTTGTTGTGGTTGTGGTTGTGGTTGTGGTTGTGGTTGTGGTTGTGGTTGTGGTTGTTATTGCTGCTGCTATTGTTGTTGTTGCTGTTGTTGTTATTGTTGTTGTTGCTGCTATTGTTGTTGGTGGTGGTGGTGTTGTTGTTGTTTTTTAATTCTTTACGGTCGAAGAATAATTGTTGTTGATGCCACCGCTCTGGGAACATATACGTTTTTCCCATTGACGTGCTTCTCCCTGGGGCTCGCACCCTGTTTTTTTTACCAGGGGAAGTCCTTCTGCTCAAAGTGCGCCTCGGGCCCCCGAACTGCAAACACAACCACTCCCGCCCGATACTTTCTCGCAATGGATTGAAGAATCGCGCTCCCGCGTGGGACTTTCCCGCCAATTGTTGTATGATTCGCGCTCTCGCGTGGGACTTCCTCGAAATTGGTTTAGACGATGCGCCTTCAGCGCTCAGGAATCATGCTCTCGCTGTTTGGGTGTTCGAGCGATTTTTCTTGGGAGTCGCGCTTGCGCTCGAGACCTCATTGCGATTCATGCAGGACCCCCGCTTCAGCAACCCGCCTGCTTGACCTTGTCGCCTGGGCCCGCCTTCCCGACCTGCCCGCTATGGGTCTGCCCACCCGATCCGCCCGTCTGGTTATACTACTTGTGCTCTGCTCCTTGCCCCCTCTCCTGCTGAGTTCTCTCGTTCTCCATTATTCTCCCTCCCCCTTCCACACGTCCTTCCTTCCCTTGTTTTAAGATGTAACCCCAAGGGGTACGATCGGATTGGGATATACGTATTGATGGGCGCGTGCGCAGATCGGAGCGAACAGTCTTAACATGATAAGTGTTGTTGTTGGTGTTGTAGACGTTGTTGTTGTGGTTGTGATTATTGTGGCTTTTTTTTTATTATTTTTTGTTTTCTTGGTTGGTGGGTTAGTTGGTAGTTTGTTTGGTGTTGATGATGTTGTTGGTGATGATGATGATGTTGTTGCTGCTTGCTGTTGTTTGTTGTTGTGTGTTGTCGTCGTCCCCTCCGCGACCCGGCCCGCGACCCACCCCGCGACCCACCCCGGAACCACTTGCGACCCACCCCGCGACCCACCCGCGACCCCACGCGCGTCCCGCCCGCGACCCACCCGCGATCCACCCGCGACACGACCCATCCGCGACCGACCCGCGACCCATCCGCGACCCATTTGTGACCCAGCCCGCGACCCACCAGCATTGTCTTAACGAAAAAATCGGCGCCTGCGGCGGCCTCGTTGTATAATTTGTGAAAGTTTGTCGCCTGCGGCGGGCTTCTTCAGAGCCTCGCTGCGGCGGGCTCTTTGCATACCTATGAAAGATTTGGCGCTTGCAGCGGGCTACTTCAGAGTCTCGCAGACTGCCGACGCCAACACAGCCGCCTCACTCTTATCCGTAACTGCGGGATGCTACGTAAATCTGATAACCATAGCAGAGTGCCCCTGAGGATCCGAGCCTCCTGGGAAGTGTGTTAGCGTCGAGCTGGCAGACGAGGGATCACATGAACCATACTGGTACTGATACTTCCCATCGCCAAATCAGTCCCCATTAACAGTTCGCCATGGTGCCATGGCTCCTTCAGCGCCGCCGCCAGCTTGCCCCCCCCGCCCCGAGGTGGGGGATGGATGCCGAGAAACCGGCGGAGATGGCATCTGTTCTCACCCAGGGGATGGTCGGTCGGTCGGACGGCAGGACCAGGGTTTACCTGGTGGGTATGGGGATGCGACTGTGACCATACACGAGTTACTCGCGCGAGTCTTGCGCGGAGGCCATGTGCGGGGGATACAATTTGCCTTGTGCGGGGCTCTTGTGGATGCCTTTGGGATTGATTGGGACCACGCGCGCGCGTGCATCTTCGGGAGCAGGAGGAGGCGCAGACGCAGCACGATACAGACGCGGAGCCATTGAGCAAGAGCCCCTGCGCGCTGTGTGCGCCGGCCATCTTCACTCCAGCACTCTGTTCGATTAGAAGTCTGAGGTCTGAAGATATTGAGCTCTCCTCACCACTCAGGGCTCCTCTCGATTCGATCGATCCGATTTGATGTCGAAGTCGCCCTAGTTGCTATCCGATTCAGTCTCGGTTTTCCAGGGATCCGGTGCGGCCCGATGCTGGCACAGCGCAATTGTGTACCCGGGCACAGCAGGCCCGCCTCGACTCCGACTTCGAACCGACGCAGCCCGACCCGGTGCCCGCCGCGCGTCGATCCGATGTTCCGACCCGGTTCTAATTGATTTTGTTTTTCAATCGGGTTCACTCTGGCGGGGCTAGGACAGCCAGCACGCTCTCAGAGCGTCCCCGAACGCCCAGAAAAGGCCGTGGATCCCGATACAGCCTCCAGATCCGCCAGATCTCAGAAATCCCCGATTGATCTTTGTCCGATCTTGTCCTGTCTTGGCTTCGTCTTATCACCTTCTGCTCCCCTGTTCGCGAGAGATGCTGCTGCTACTGCTGATGATGGTGATGCTGATGCTGATGCTGATGCTGATGCTGATGGTGTTGCTGATGGTGATGGTGATAATGCTGATGATGATGATGAGGAGGAGGATGAGGAGGATGGTGATGATGAGGAGGATGAGGAGGATGAGGAGGATGAGGAGGAGAAATGGGATGTGGATGTTGATGCTGATGATGGTGCTGGTGCTGATGCTGGTGCTGATATGATGATGTTGATAATGATGCTGATGATGGTGACGATGGTGATGATGATTATGATGATGATGCTGATGCCGACGACGACGACAATTACGACGACGGTTGCGATCATGGTGGTCCTGCTGATGATGATGACGATGATGATGATGATGATGATGATGATGATGTCATGATGCTTATGGTGATGATACTGATGATAGTGATGAGGATGATGATGATGATGATGATGACGCCGTTGGTAATGCTGTCGCTGATAAATGAGATGTTGATAATGATTGTAATGCTGCTGATGATGACGATTACTGTAATATTGCTGCTGTTAATCATGATGATAAGGAAGGTGAAGATGCTGTTGATGATGTTGCTGATGATGATGGTGATTCTGAACATACTTGTGGTGCTGATGCTGATGCTGCTGATGATGATGACGATAACGATGACGATGTTTTTAACAATTATTTGGATTCGATGCTGATGCTGATGATGACGATGATTATGGCGATCATGATGATGGTGATGAAGCTGTTGATCATGCCGCTGATGTTGATGACGACGATGATGGTGACGATGACGATGATGCTGATGATGATGATGTCGGTGGTAATGCTGCTGCTGGTGATGATGAAGTTGATAATGATAGTGATGATTATGAGGATGATGTCGATGATTGTAATACTGCTGCTGCTTCTGATGATGACGATGAGGATGAGGATGCCTCATGCTAATGATGCTGATGATGTTGATGGTGATGGCGACAATGATAATGAGTGTGGTGATGTTGCTGATGTTGCTGATGATGATGACGATCATGATGACGATGATGTTGATAAATATTGGGCGATGCTGATGATGATTACGATGATTATGGCGATGATGATGATGCTGTTGATGATGCTGCTACTGCTGCTGCTGCTGATGGTGATGCTGCTGCTGCTGCTGCTGCTGATGATGATGATGATGATGATGATGATGATGATGATGATAATGACCCTGCCCCTCCAACCCCTGCTTCCCCGCCTGCGCGAGCGCCGTCGTGGAAGAGCTGCAGGAGCAGGTCCGGAGCCTGACGGAGCAGGCGCAGCACACGGCGGAGGCGAAGGCGGGCTCCCCTGATTATCCACCGCCTCCTGCGCCGCCCCTGGCGCCTTGCGCGCGCCAGGAGGAAATCCAGCGCCGGTCCTGGACAGGCGCAAAACTCCGAAAGTTTATGCTTGTGGCACTGTCTGTTCCTCTATTTCGAAGGCCTTACTGCAGGTGCCGCCGACCCTGAAGGGGGACGACGGCAGCGGCGGCGCGACGCTGACGTGGGTCATAGTCCTCAGGAATGATTCTTCGGGCCTCTTCGGGAGCGCTCTCGGGGGCCTCTGGGGAGCAGTTTTGGGGCCTCTTGGGAGCCTCCTGAGAGCTTCTCTGTCTGAGAGGCAACCGATAGCAGAGCTTTCGTCGCTCTGTGGCATCTCCAGGGGGCCTGGTCCCCATGCTCCTGGCCCGGGGCCCCGTGGCCATGCTTCGAGCGGGCCAGGGCGCGCAGAGTGTCTCGTGCCGAAGACGACGAACCGTCAGATCCAGACATCGGCGTATCGGGAAATTCTATCCAGATGCCTACGGCAAGACCAGGCCAGGCACCGTGACAGTTCTGAACCTTGTTTGGTGACTGATAGGATGGTGATGATGATGATGATGATGATGATGATGATGATGATGATGATAATGCTGATGATGATGACGATGATGATGAAGATGATGGTGATGGTGATGGTGATGGTGATGGTGGTGGTTGTGATGGTGATGGTAATGAGGATGGGGATGATGATGATGATGCTGATGATGCTCATGCTGATGATAATGATAGTGGTGATGGTGACGGTGAATGTGATGGCGATGGTCATGGGTGATGGGTAATGTGTGAAGGTGATAGTGATGGTGATGAGGATGAGGACGAGGATGAGGAATGTGATGGTGATGATGATGAGGATGAAGATGAGGATGCTCTGGACGATATTATGATGAGGATGAGGTGGATGATGATGATGAGGCGAAAATGACGAGGATGATGATGATGGTGAGGATGAGGTTGTTCATGATGGTGATGCTGATGATGAGGATGATGAGGGTAAGGATGATGATGCTCATTATTTTGATGAGGGTGCTGATGATGATGAGGATGCTGATGATTGATGAGAATTTTGATGTTGCCCATGCTGATAAAGGATGGTGATGATCAGGAGCATAATAAGAACGATGATGATGCTGAATACGACGATGATGATGATGCTGATGATGATGATGATGATGACGTCGACGACGATGATACTGATGATGATGCTGACGATGATGTTGCTGATGGTGATGGTGATCGTGATGGTGATGATGATGATGATGTTGTGGATGAGGGGGGGGTGATGATCATGTTCATGATTATGGTGATGACGACGAGGATGATGATGAGGATGACGATGACGATGATTACGATGAGGATGATGAGAATGATGGTGATGACGACAATGAGGATGATAGCGCTTCTGATGTTGACGATGAGCATGAGGATGCATATCCTGATGATGATGATGACGATGCCGAGGATGAGGATGATGGTTATGACGATGTTCGCGATGCTGACGCTGATGATGATGCTGACGATTACGATGATGGTGATGATGATGATGCTGATGCTGATGATGATGATGATGATGATGATGGAGATGAGGATAACGACGACGCTGATGATGCCGATTATGATGATGAAGTTGCTGGTGGTGATAATACTATGCTGCTGGTGATGATGATGATAATGATGGTGTTGAATGTTATGATGTCGATGCAGATGTTGATGATGACCATGATGATAACTTCACCACCTTAATGATGATAATGCGGATGATAATGATGATCATACTTGTGTTGATGGTAATAATCATGGTGATGGTATCCATGATCATGGTGATGATAATCACCATGATGCTGATGTTGATGCTGATGGTGATGACCAGAGCGATGATGAGGATGACGATGCTGATAATGATGCTGATGGTGATGTTGAGGATGTTGGCAATGATGCTGCTGATGATGATGAAGATGCTGATGACGCTGATGCTGATGACGCTGATGCTGATGATGCTGATGACGACGATGATTATGTTGATGGTGAAGAGGATGCTGATTATGATGCTGCTGATGAGAGTGATTATGCTTACGGTGATGATGTTCTGTCGCTTGGCAGGGAAACGGCCGTTACGCCTCCAGTAGGAGGGATGTGGAGCCGCTGTGCAGGGCGCGCCCGTGCCGCCTCCGAGAGAAGTGTCAATGGTACACCGCCTCCACATGTACTCAGTTCTGGACTTTTCGGGATGCCTTTTCGAATCCTCGATTGGTTGCATTGGCAGTTCAGGGCCTCAATTCGGTGCAAAGGTACCCCCGAGACGCCGGAGGCGTGTTTCAGACAGGACAAGACGGCCCAATATGGCGCCCAGATGCTTGCAAGATGGCCACAGACGCTTTTCGAGGGCTCCAATTGGACTCCAAGAGGCTCGGAAGATAAACGCCAACATTACAGATTTTGCCACATCGCCCATCCACGCTCATGCAATTTCTGGGTACACACGTCCATGCACGCAGCTTTGAATGTGTCTAGAGCTGGCTTTTGTAGGCACCTAAGCGCGCGTAGCGCGCGTGGTTCTAGTACATATTTATATACATACACCTGTGATCGGTCTCTCGGGGCCCTTACCGGGCCTCGGGACCGTCAAAACACAACTCGGTCGGACGGACATGTCCTGGGGAAGAGGTCGAGATGTCTGGGGCAGGCGGGTGTCTCGAAAACGTCGAGACGCCGGATCAGCTCTCGAGCCGCCGCCGGGGGGGGTCCAGCGCCGATCCACGACGGACGCGCGGAGCTCCGACGGCTTTGCTTTGGGTTACCGTGCACCCCCATGTTCGGCTGTGCAGCCTCTGCCCAGCTTCGAAGCACACTCGCGCAGGATGTTGGTCAGACGGTGGTACAACAAAAAAACGCGCGAAGCTCTGGCAGCTACTTGGCGGACGAAGAGCGGTACAGCCTGCGCTCTTCCGCCGTCGGGGGCGCCTGCTCCGTGGCGGCTGGAGAGTCGCCCTGGGGCAGGCGCCCCCGACTTGTCACCGGAAGGGCCGCAATCTTCCAGCCGCCCTGGGGCAGGCGTCCCGGCCGTAGCTTTTTTGTCAGCAGGTCTTCGTCCGCCAAGTGCATGTGTCCGAGATCCCCGGAGACGTCATGTACTGTTGTTTCAGTGCGGGAAGTCCCGGCCCTTCTGCTTGGGCCCGTTTTCCTCCCGGGTCGTTCTTTCACGGGCGGGGCTCGGCGAGGGCCCCCAGAGGCAATCCGTAAAATGCAATTGTCCAACACATTGGAGGTCTGGGTCCGACTGTTAAGGTTAAGTTGGGCCTACAGGGGGAATATTCAAAAATAGTTAAAAATATTCTGGGGACAATTTTTTGACTATTGTTGAGTGTTGTTGGGGTATTGTTTGGATATTTTTAATTTTTCGTCCAAAATCCCCCTGTAGGGGGACAGGCCCGACTTAATGTTCAGGTGTGTGCGCCTGTTGCTTGACTTCTGCCCTCTCACCGCAAGAGGCCGAGGCCGAGGCCGAGGCCAGGGAGTTGCAGGCGAGGCTGGACGAGGCCCTGCGGCAGCTCCAGGAGACTGGAGTGCACCAACTTCACCACCCGCCAGACTACCCCAACCCAACCCGAGGACCCCAGCCCAACCCGAGGCCCCTCCTCCTCCTCCCCCTCCTCCTCCTCCTCCTCCTCCTGCTCTTCCTCCTCCTCCTCCTCCTCCGACGACGACGACGACCAAGCGGGGTTTAGACCTGAACGCGGCACGCGAGACCACCTCTTCACTTTCAACATCCTGCGCGAACGAGCTTCCGAATGGAATCAGACCCTGTGGATTGCTGCCGTAGACTTTAAGAAAGCGATCGACACAGTAGAACGCAGCAGCCTATGGGCAAGACTACGACGACAAGGCGTGCAACCCGAGCACGTCCACCTGCTCCAGCGTCTCTACCACGGCCAGAAGGCTTTTGTCCGCACCGACTCCACCGGCAAACCTTTCAAGCTCAGCCGAGGCACAAAACAGGGAGACCCTTTGAGCTCACTTCTCTTTAACGCTCTACTACAGCACACCCTGGGACCTCTCAATCTGGATGGGCAGTAACTAGCACGCACCAACGAATATGTTCTTACCAGCCCCCGCTTCGCCGACGACATCCTCCTGGTCAGTCAGACACTACCCCATTTGAAGACACTGCTTGGGGACTTCATCAAGGCAGCAGCTCCTCGCGGCCTTGAACTACACCCGACCAAAACAAGTAGCAGGACAAACCAGACTGGGACCCGAACGCGATCGGCAAGAGTTGCAACCATGGACAGTGAAATATTATCACCCACCGGGAAGTTGAAGTATCCTGACCAGACCATATCATGTCAATACGCATCGACGACCGAGATTCAGCATCGCATCAGCGTTGCATGGGCGTGCTTCACAGGGCACACACAAGAACCAACGAGCAAGCTCTACCCACTCAAGCTCAGACTGCGACTATACCGTGGCACCGTCATACCCACAATGATGTACGGCGCAGAATCATGGACAATAGCAGAAACCCTCGAATAGCAGCTGCGTCGCACGCAACGACGGATGATCGGGGCGATTATCGGGACACCGCGGTGACACACGTCAGCAGCTTCACCAAAACATGCTGCCGCAACGACAGGCAAATCTGACAACGATGATCTCGACGGCAACGCCTCCGACGACTTCAACGACCACGACGCCTCCAGCGACCCGCCGACTTCATGAGACCCACCCCGAACAAGTGACGGCAGCATCGACCGACTTAGACGCCTTGCTCGCTTTGCTCGCTGGGCAGCGCGTACTGAATCCAGCACGGCCTGCCAACGAAGCGTTTGCCCGCTTTGCAGAGACGGCCCCCTCGCCACCGACCGTCGTGGGAGCGGGTGCCACAGTTGGCGCAGGACAGAGGCTCGCATTGAGGCGTGCAGACAGCGCAGTGGGAGCTGCCGCTGTTGGAGCGCACCACTGGCCAGACCTGTCTTCGACAGGTCCTGCAGGAAGGCGGGCGGGCGGAGGGAAGGTCGTCCTGGCGTGCCTGGCCTCCTCTGGTGAGACTCTGCAGCAGAGTGCGAGCTCGAGCGGGCGGGCAGAGACGGGCGCGCCTCTGGCGGCAGAACGCCGAACCGAACAGACGCTTTGAAGGAGAGGCCCGCCGCGCGATGGGCAGATAGGCCTTGATGTCCCCACGCGGGGGCGAGGAGCGGAGAGTTCGGGCGCACGTTGTCGCAGCGGCTCCGTGGGAGCCCGTGCCGATCCGATCCGTCCCAGCACCGAGCAGGCTCGGGGAGTTGCGGTCGGAAACGCCCTCGTGGGGCGTTCTTAGGCGGTTTGGGCGCCTCGTGGGCCGTCTTGGCCCCCTCGTTGGCCGTTTTGGGGCCCTCTTGGGGGCATCCTCGACCGGCTTGGGTGCCTCTTGGGCCGTCTTGGATGCTGTGGACGCCGAAAAGGCAAACACGCCACAACATTCAGTTTCCCCATCGGGAATTTGCAATTTTTGCTTATTGGGCCGCTCTCGGGGTGCCTCTTGGGGCGTCTTCGGGGCCTTCGGGGGCTTTCTTGGCGTCATGGGAGTCGTCTTGAAAGGCGTCTGCAGCCTATGGGGGCCCTGTTGGCCCCGGGTCGCCGAAACCCCGTCAAAACACAAGGAAAACGACATCTGGTCCCCCCATGCCCTGTCGAGGTCGCGGTCCCAGGTCCCCGGGCCTCGTGCACGGGCATATATATGTGTGTATATGTATGTATATATATATATATATATATATATATATATATGTATATGTATATATACATATACATATATATATATATATACATATATATATATATCTACGTGTATTATCCATATCCATATCCACCGCACCATGTCGTAGGTTCCCCGGCGGTGGATTATCATGGTTACATCCCCGCCTCGCCCCAGGGGCCCGGACCAAGACATAGGAAGCCTTGTGGGGGCTCAGGGGATAGGGGTCAATGCAAACGGGGGTCAGCTAGGGCGCCGGAGCTTGCAGGCTCTTGCAAGACCAGGGTTGCACTGACCCGGGCTAGCGCGCAGGATCCTGCAGGATCTTGCAGGATCCTGCAACACCTGACTGATCCGGGTTTCGATTGACCCGGGTCAGTAGATCCCCGACCTTGATTCGCCATCAGCTTAACATGCTACTCAAAATTGTACGTCGCTCCCCAACGGGGCGACGCGCGCGCCGAGGAGCCTTATTGTGTAAGCTCCCTGACCGGCGCTTTCTGGCCATACCGCTCGGAAAACGGTATACTGCAACTTCGTCATACGACGTGATCTATCGGACGCACGCCTCCAAGGAGGAGGAGGAGGAGGAGGAGGATCCTTCTGCGTCCCATTGCTTCTTTGCAGCACGGGGTCCCTGGAAGTGTTCGCGCCTGCCCGGGGGGTGTTTCCTCCAGATCGCTCGTGGCGGTCCTGGGCCCCGAGGAGGGCCCCCACAGGCCGAACGGTGGCAGAAAGCCTCCCGTCGCGATTTTCTGACGCCGCTGGCATCTTTGGCTTTCGCATCATACCTCGAGTCTGCAACGGCCGATCGGGACGACCTGGGCACCCCCGGGAACGCCCTCGGCGAGGCGCAGCGCGCTGGAAGGCATCTCCCGAGGCTGGCAGGCCGCGGAGAACCGATGAAAAACATCCGAGCACCTCGAACGCCTCGAACACCTCGAGCACCTCGAGGTGGCAACCTCAAAACCTCAAACCTCGAAGCGATACCACAGTCGGACCGAGGCATCAGATCATGGTCGGTTCCGGGGGGGGTTACCTTGGTGTCCTCCGTGCTTGCTGGCTGCTCTCGTGCCTCCTGGGCGAGGGCACCCCTTAATGCCCTTAGGTGTGGGCCGGCGGAGGGCCTCGTGCTCTTCTGGAGGCTGTTCTCCTGTCCTGGGGCCGCCTGCAGCGGATGGCAGACCTCGGGGCGCACCTCCGGGGCGGGAACTCACCCATGACCACCGCCTGGGGGCTCAATCTTCGCGGACCTCCACAGGCGGTGGATACGGACACATTCGGGCCACCTGGTGGCCAGAATATATATATATATATATATATGTATATGTATATATGTATACATCTATATATATATAGATTTATCCATATCCATATCCATATCCACCGTCCGCCGGGGCACCAGGACGTCGGTTCCCCGGCGGTGGAGGCTGCCAGAAGGGTTCGTTGGACAAGGTTGGCTTCGCTGGGCTCGAGGTCGCCCTGGCCCGACCTCAGGCACTCCAGCACGACCTGAGGCGCCCCAGCAGCCGTCGGAATCACTCTTCTTGAACCAGACCTTCTCGCCGTCCTCGAGACGGGGAGGAGGAGGAGGAGGAGGAGGAGGAGGAGGAGGAGGGATAGGTTCCCGCCTCGCAGCAGCACCGAGCCCGGGCCCAGGACGGGCCCGGCCAGGCGCGGCCCCCATGGGGCGCGCGTCTGCGGAGGGCGGCGCCCCCCCCCCCCCCCGCCGCCCCCGGAGGAGAGCTCCGCCGCCGCGGCCGCCGCCGCCGCGAGGGCGGCGGCCGCCGAGGGCGCCCTCGCGGGGGCGCTGGCGCGGGAGCGGGAGCTGCAGGAGACCGTTTTTTTGCTCCTGCTCATCGGGGGCGGCAAGGGGGGGGGTGACGACTAGCCTGGGCCGCGCACATGCCGACGGCCATGATTCGCGCCCCCTCTCTTGGGCGCCCCCCTCTTGGCCGCCCCCGAACTCAGAAGCCAGGCGAAGGCTGGCAAACCCGTGGCTGCCAAGACGGAGCTCTGGGAAACTGTTATATTTTCTTCCGGGAAGCGGCCCGTTTGCTATATTTAGCGCGATGGGTCTTATTCCGGGAGTTTTTTTTGTTTCCCTGGGAATGCCATGTCAGCAGCCACGGATGTGCCAGTCCTCGCCAAGCTTCCGGCTCAGATGGGGTCCTACTGCAGATGGGGTCGGAAGAGCGCGCCGCATCGCTGGCGGGCGCATCGCCGATGCGGCTCGATGTGGACCCCGATTTTCTCCACGCCGACGGCGCCGATGCATCGCCAACGCCGCTGATTCATCTGCAATGCGGTGCGATCCTCCGACCCCATCTGCTCGGACCCCATCTAGCAGGCCTGTAACCGAGGGGGGGGTCGACTAGACGTAAGAGTGACCTTTCGCCGGAGTGACCTTTGGTGCGGGCCCAATGCGGAAGACGATGCGATGGCAGCGGCTTGCGCGCTCGGCGGTGTCCCCAAAGGGCCCCCCATTGGCCGTGCACGAAAGGTGATTCTTGCCTAGGGTCACTCTTGCGTGTAGCCGATGGGGAAGTGAGAAGGAGAAGGCCTTCTCAGAAGGCGGCGGGACGTATCAGAAGCCCTTATGCCCTCTGAGAGGTGTTGGGTGTCTTCGGGGAAGGCTTAGGGAACTTCTCAGAAGGCCGGGGAACTTCCGAGCCTTCCGAGAAGTCCTTCTCCTTCTCTCTTTCCCCGAGGCTCGCCGTGTAGGAGACTTTTTCCATGGACCCTTGTTGAGCGCAGCCATCCATCTCTCGCGCCGAACGCCGCCGGAGGACCGCCGACGACCGCCAGAAGAGAGCCGAAGACCGCCCGCCCAGGGCTGGGGGGTAACAAGGGTTCCACCGTCGAATACGTAGCGGCCTGACCGAGATATAAGATCGAAGTTGCCTCTGGGAAGGTACGCTAGTGTTCTCCGTGTCTGTTGGACTTTCTTGTGCGTGTTGGGGGAAGGTACCCTCGGCAGATAAATCGGCGGCAAGCGAGGGGGGCAAGTGAGAAGGAGGACGCCTTCCCAGAAGGCATCGGGGCTTCTCAGGAGCCGTCGAGCCTGCTGAGAAGTTGTGGAAGTCGTCGGGGGAGGCTGAGAAAACTTCTCAGAAGACTGGGGGACTTCCGAGCCCTCTGAGAAGGCCGTCTCCTTCTCACTTCCCCCCCAGGCTCGCCGCCGAGAGAACCCCAGACCGCTGGCGTCTCGAAGCAGACACAACCCCTACCCGGCTACCCCCGGACCCCTTGATAACAAAGCATCTCTCCTTTCCCATTGTATCGCTTGGTTTATCCACGGGATTGAATGTGGCTCCATGGCCACAGCAGGCGGGGAGGCCGAAGTTTCTTATCCCTTCGGAAGTTCCTATCGTAGCTCTGATTTTGAGGATGTCTCAGGCGAAACTCGGTTCAGACATCCTGACATCGATACCCCCCGGACAGTGCTGCTTCTTCCGCCTGGACTCCGACCTCTGTCGATCCCCAGGGGATCCTTCTCGCCAGCATGCGGTCAACTGTCCAGGCTCGTGGTCCGAGGTCTTCGTGCGCCTTCGCTGGATCCTGGAGCGTTCCTCGCCGGGGGGTTGCGCTCCAGCAGCTGCGCGTCGCCGCCCGCGCTCCGCGGGGGCCCGGAAATCGCCCCGAAGAGCTTCCATAGGGAGTCGAGCTGTGAGGCCCAGGCGCCGGGCGTCTCGGCACACATCGAGGCGGAGGGTTGGCCTCGGGATCGTTCTCTTGTCCACTGTTCTGCCGATCGGCGCGGGCCCTCGCACGCCCTCTCCCCCCATGGAGTAGATCTTGGCTGTTTGGGCGCCTGTTTCGAGCAGGTCGCGTCTCCCCTACAGAACGCACTGTGCTGCAAAAAGTCGCATTAAGCAGAGGGGCGGAGCCAGACCCCCCCCCCCCCCTCCACGCCCCTTCCGCCCAATGTCGAACCGCCCCATGTCAAGATAACGTTCATTTATGGCCCAGGCACCAGGCGTCTCGACAAACATCGAGGCGGAGGGTTTGGCACTGTGGGGCCCGTGCCAGGCCTCGGGGCCGTCGAGATACGACTCGGGGTGAAGAGCCGGTCAGTCCTATAGGGAGGTGGTCGAGAGGTCGGGTGCTCGTGCTTCGAACAGAATCCTGACGCCAGACGTCTGGGAACGGGCGTAAACGGGAGGGTTCGCGTCCGTGCCGTTTGGGAGTGCCTCAGAGTGGCGAATGCCCAGGCGGCGCCGGGGCGAATGGATGGTTGGGGAGGGCGGCGGGGCCGGTCATGGGCGTTGTCGCGAATGATACAAGATTGGCTCCAGGAGGCGAACGACTTGCTGCAGGAGGCCGATCTCCCCCTCCTCCTCCTCCTCCTCCTCCTTCTCCTCCTCCTGCTCCTCCTCCTCCTCCTCCACCTCCTCCTCCTCCTCCTCTCGAAGGGGAAACGTCGAGGGAGTAACAACCACTCCGACCCCAATGCTTGGCGTTTACTAAACGGCCCTGGGCGTTTACTATACAGCTCTGCTCTGTTCCAGTCCTCCCTTGGGCACGTTCACTAAAACGGCTTTGCTTGTCCGGGTGTTTCTGATGAGGGTGATTCTTCTGCTCTCTCAAGAACAGCACAGACATGACTTCTCGGAGGTTCGCGCGGTTTAGTTGGATCGGTGCTGGGCCCATTGGCGACGCCTCCAGCTCGCGCTCCGCTCACCAGGGAGGGGGGTCCAGCGCCGATCCCGGCAAGCTGCGCGGACCTCTGATAAATAATGCCAATGCAATCGTTTCGCTCCTGTGCCCCTCCGCCTCCTGCTGCTCCTTGTTCTCCTGCTCCTCCTCCTCCTCTTCCTCCTCTTCTTACTCCCCTTCTCCTCCTCATCCTTCTCCTCCTCCTCCTCCTCTCTTATGAAGGCCTGTGGGGTGTTCTGGAGGGGGTGTTTGAAAAAACAGCACGGTGCTTGAAAACGCCGGATCGGCACGTTGTGTGAAAACGCTGGGTCGGTTGCTTGAAGACGCCAGATGGCGTGCTCCCGCGTCTAGGCGGCGCCCAGTGTGTGGGGAGGAGGGGGGGGACGGGTCCGCGTCGGCTCCGGCAACATCTCGGCGGATTTCCGAGTTCTCATGTCTATCGGTTTCGTCTCACCTGCGGCAGGTTCGGGTCGTGTCGATGCGGCTGCGACCCCGCAGAAGGCGTTCAAGCTTTGACGCCGCCAGCAGCCCAAGATCGAATAATATGGAACGATCTGGTAATCGAAAACCGCCGATCGAATCATCTCAGCAAATTCCCGCACGCTAATATCTATCGGCTTCGTCTGACCTCTCCATCGAGGAAGGCTTGACAGCATGAACAGACATTTTCGGAGCTCCGCCACCCCTGGCAGCGCCTCCGGCGCCCCCCCTGGCGCATTCCGCGCGCCATGGAGGGAGGTTCAGCGCAGATCCAAGAAATCCGCGCGAAGCTCCGAAAGTTAGTTCATCCCCACCCCCACCCCCACTCACAGTCCTTGAATTCTCTAGCCCTTCTGTCCCACCGTCCCAGGTGGAGGTGGGCCCCGCGGAGCTCGAAGGGAACAGCGCATAGTTCCACCTAGGTGGGTCAGTCGGCCAGTGGGGCCACGGCCACGCCAGTTGGGATAGGGCTCGATCAAAGGATGATCACTGTGTCGAAATTCAAGTGGCTTACGCCATTCCGGCGCCCCCCAGAAAAGACAAGGAGTTTTGCACGACCGCGGAAGTCGTTCGGAGCGTTTGGACCTGAACACGTTGTGTCGTATCTCGGTTCTTTTGGGACTTTGCCAGCTCCCTTGGGGCCTTCGAAGTTGGGCGGTCCATGTTGGAAGGTTCTGTTGGCCTGGAAGATGCGAGGATACAGCAGTGAGAGCTTGCAGCGTTCGTGGAAGGAGTGATGTGGGTCAAGAGGCGGGTGGATGCATATGAGAGGCTCTTGAGATGCTTCTCAGGGGTATCTTGGAGGGCTCATTGTGGCACCTGCGGGAGTTTTTTTGAGTTTGTCGGGGACCTCTTGGGGTCTTCGGTGGGGTTTTTTGCAGGCCTTTGGGGCGCCTCGGGGGCCTCCAGGGGGCTTGGGGCCATCTAGGGGGAAGGCTCGAATTGTCAGCTCATATTCGCCCTCTTGGGCCCCTCTCGGGGCTTAAGGGGGCCTCTCTTGGGCCGTCTTGGGGGCCTCTCTTGGGCTGTCTTGAGGCCATCTTGAGCCGTCAAGGTGGTCTCGTGGGGGCCTCATGGCCCGTCTTGGGACAGTCTTGAGGGTCCTGTTGGCCGTCTTGGACGCTCCACCACCACAGAGCCAAGCATCTGGAAGGATGCGTGGGCAGGAGAGCGCGCGGTTGGCGTCCCTTCGTAGATTTCACAGGGAGAATCGGAATTGAGGAGCGCCTCACGACTGTGAAGCAGGAAAAGGAGTGCCCGACTGTGAAGCAGAAGATGGGGCGCCCGATTGTGAAGCACAATACGGGCAGCGAGGCAGGAGGAGAAGGAGGAAGGGGGGCAGGATCAGGAGCAGGAGAAAGAGGGGATACTGTCTATAGTTACAGCGGCCCATATACCGGGCCAGTCCATCGCTGCCGCGGCCACCCACGCTTCATCTGGAATGCCCATTGTCTGGGAGAGCAGTCCGGGTTGCAGATCATTGCTGTCGCCAAACAAGATCCACTTCCACTTGCGATCTTGCTGTGCAGCGCCACTTGTTTCAGGCAGTATGTCAGAAAGCGGTTTCGCTCCAGCCTTGTCCAGCCAGCACGGTGGTGTTGGTGACCCTGGAAATGAACGATGGCGAAATACGCATAGTTTCCAGATGCATGTGCAGTAAACGGCGTCTAATTGCGTCACCTCGGCTTTGAGAAGCCATGCGGAATCCAGCGAATACAATATTTTGCTCAAAACGCAGGCGGAACACATTTTTATTTGGTTCCAACCAATAGTGGCGTGAGACAATTGTTTTTGCAGTTGATTGAAATGCTTGCTCCTTCGCCCGACCTTCGAGACAACTCACTTTCAACTTCGCCATCGCAAGATATGAGCCCACCCAAGTAGACTGTTCCCCAGACGGATGTAATTGTTTCGCCGGTGGGTTTCCACATTTCCCTTGTCGATCTGTTCATTTGCATTGTTTTATTGCAGTTTATTGCAGTGAAGGTCCATGCCATATTTGCGACCTTCAGTTACAATGTATTCCAGCATGAGCTGTAAATTCCCGAGGTGTTGTGACGCTCAGGGAGTGTCGTCTGCGTACACAATGTCTCTGGCGATAACATAGTCCTGTTCAAGTTGCAGCTCCAGCGAGTCCAAATCGTCGTGCAGCATCACAGTTTGAACAGCGATGAACCGGTAGGGGCTGTTGGGGCAGCAACCTTAGACAATACTTGTAGATTGCCTTCTCCCCGAAGTATTCCCACAGTGGTCGACAACGATAAAGTACCGCTCTGCGTACATCCCACGAACCATGCTGACATTTGGCTGTGGTAGTCCAAAGCGTTCCAGGGCCATTCACATGCTGTCGGGTTTCAGGCGATCGAAAGGTTCCACCAAGTCCAATCACATAAATAATTGTTTACGCTACGCGAGTTCCCACCAGCCCATTCAGAAACCCTGCCCATGAGAGCTGACAGGAAAAGGGACGACGAGACACTAGTGAGCCAGAGCGTGCAAGGAGAGGACAGGAAGGTGTTGAGCCATGCTGGAGGCTATCTGGGAGCATCGGAGGCCGTCTTGGAGCTACAGTGTTGATATTGGGGTCCTCTTGGAGCTCTTTTAGGGCATCTTGGGGCCCTCTTGGGGCTTTTTTGGGGGCTCTTTGAGGGGGTCCTCTTGGGGCTCTTTTGGGGCCCTCTTGGGTCTCTCTTGGGAGCTATGGAGCGCCTCACGGTGCCGTCTTGGAGACAATCGATCAAAGGAAGGGGTTCTTCGATTTCCTTCCCCCCCTCTCGAGGGCAATCGAAATAGCATCTTGGGGCACTCTTGGGGCCCTCCTGGGGCGATCTTGGGCGCTCTTGGGGCAAGCTGGGGGGTCTCTCGAGCCTTTGTTGGGGCTCTCTTGGTCCATCTTAGTGCCATCTCGAGGCCCCCCAAAGCGCATCGGAACCGGATTAGCGAGACGGCAAGAATCAGTGATTCCCGTTAGGTTTGCGAAGGGTTTTGGTTTAGGGGAGGTCCTGAGGGGTCACCAAAAGCACCTGGAACCGTCTTGTGGCCTTCTTGGGGTCTCTTGGAGACATGTTGCTAACTATCTTGAGCCATGTTGGGCTATCTTGAGCGATTTTGGATGCCATCTTGGGTTCTGCTATCTTGGACGCCCTGACCGTTCGCGAACCCCCCGTCCAGGGCCAGGGGAGGCGGTAGGGGGAGGGGTCTAGCTCACTCCCACCCGCCCTCCCAACACATACGTAACACCCGAACCCGAACATGTTCAGCTGTCTTTTTTGGATGGGCCGCTACTGGGAACCACATCCGACTCGATGTACGCGACGCTGGTGCGAGGTGCGCCACGCGTGCCAGGCGCGCCACGCGCGCCAGGCACCCCTGGGGCCCGAGCGTGCCAGGCACGCCTGGGAGGTTTTCTCGGTTGCAGGAGAGGCGAACGCGTTAAACATGTAGCTTCCCCCGTGGACATGGACCGAGTTTTGCTCCGTGAGGTCGTCTCGGGACGCCTCTTGAGGGCTTCGTGGGGCCTTGCGGGGGCCTCTTGGGCTGTCTGGAGGCCAGCGCGGGCGTTTCCGATCGATCGTGCGGCGGCTCGTGGCCCTATCGGACCGTCCAGAGGGCTTCCTGGTGCCCTCTTGGCCTGTTCGGGGGCCCTCTGTCCCCCTGTTTGGGTCGTCTGAGAGCCCTCTGGGTTTTTTGGGGGCCGTCTTGGGGCGACCCAGGAGGCTTCTTGGGTTGTGTTGGATGTTACATGGGCCGAGTTTTTCTCTTCGAGGCCGTCTTGGAACGCTTCTGGAGGTCTTCTTGGGGCGTCTTGGTGGCCTCTTGGGCCGTCTGGAGGCCAGAATGTGCGTTTTCGATCGATCTGTCGGCGGCCCGTGGCCCTCTTGGACCGTCCAGAAGGCCTCTTGGTTGCCTCTTGGCTTGTTTTGGTTCCCTCTGTCCCCCCGTGACGCGTTCGCCCGGTCCCCCAAGGACCCCCCCCGCCAAATCGACCAGACTGGGCCCCCAGGGGAGGGAAGCATCTCACACGCCGATGAACCCCAAGGGGTCGGCGCATCTTCGGTTCATGTGCTCTGCCTCCTCCATGCCCGGAGGAGTCAAGCTGGCTTATTGGCCGCCTTGGCACTGCAGCGGCCCAGGAGGAGGTGGGCGTGCCCAGGACGAACCAGGAATGCTCCGAGACGGTCTC